AAAAAAAAAAAAAATAAATAAAAATAAAACAATTTAACCCATGGATCCATAAAGATGGGCCAAATGACCATTTGGACTGTAATGTGACCACATGGGCAGCCCCAGGGCCTAACCAGGAACTAACTGGACTGAACTTCCCTAGCTCAGGCACCTCCCAAGACCACTGATGACATCCGGCAACTTGGATGTGCAGAGACAGGGAGAGCAAGCAGCCAGGCCACTCACTTGGACACACCCTTCCCCTCTAGCTCTGAGGGATCCTTAAAGAAAGGATAGAAAAAGACACAACTTGGTCTGGAAGGGAAATGAGAAGGTTTTACAAATGGATTCTGAGCTTCCAGTCCTATTTCCCTGGTGTGCTCTGCCCCTGCAGGGCTACATAGCTTGTTCTGTCTGGATCCTCCCCCTCCACCCCTAGTCTGTGTTGGGGCCCAGCTGTTACCAAACACCAATAGGCCAGTAGTCCTGACATCCAAGAGGCCCTTCCTTTCTTTTCTTCTTCTTTTTTTTTGAGATAGATCCTCAAGCTGTCACCCTGGGTAGAGTGCCATGGCATCACAGCTCACAGCAACCTCCAACTCCTGGACGAGTGATTCTCCTGCTTTTGCCTCCCAAGTAGCTGGCACTACAGGTGCCTGCCACAATGCCTGGCTATTTTTGGTTGCAGCCATCATTGTTTTTTGGAAGGCCCAGGCTGGATTTGAACCCACCAGCTCAGGTATATGTTGCTTGAGCCACAGGAGCTGAACCTTTTTTTTTTTTTTAATGACACAGGGTCTGTTGCCCAGGCTGGAATATAGTGGCCTCATCATGGCTCACAGCAACCTCAAATTCCTGGGTGCAAGAGATCCTCCTGCCTCAGCCTCTGAGTAGCTGCAAATACAGGTGTGCACCGCCATGCTTGGGTAAATTTTTTTTTTTTGAGACAAGAGTTTTACTTGTCACCCCTGGTACAGTGCCTTGGTGTCACAGCTCACAGCAACCTCAAACTCTTGGGCTCAAGCAATTCTCTTGTCTCAGTCTCCCGAGTGGCTGGGACTACAGGTGCCTGCCACAATGCCCAGCTATTTTTAGAGTCAGGGTCTTGCTCTGGCTCAGGCTGGTCTTAACCAGCCTGACAGCTCAGGCAATCCACCTGCCTTGGCCTCCCAGAGTACTAGGATTACAGGTGTGAGCCACCACTGCCTTCCCTTAAATTTGTTTTTTCATAGGGACAGGGTCTTGCTCTTGCTTGGGCTGGTCTTGAACTCTGGCCTCAAGTAATCTGCCTGCCTCAGCCTCCAAAGTGCTAGATTATAGGTGTGACCCACTGTGCCTGGCATTTTCCTTTATTTTCAAAATTAAGTAGCACAGGGATTTTTTTCCTTAACTAAATAAAAAAGGAAAGATGAGAAACTCTTGGTGGTCCATCTGACAATAAAGACAGAAATATCTATTTCTCTGTCTTCTCCTTGGAATATCACCTTTCATTATTAATGTTTCTGAGGCAACTCCCTTTCTCCTGAAACCAATGGAAGTTTCTCTGAATATCATTCCCAAGTTTAGGGCCTGGTGCAATAAAGAGGGATGAACATGGGGATAGTCTGTGATTCGGAAAGATGGAGGGCAGCTTTCTCCACTTCAGAGCTGCTGTGACCAGGCAGGGCCATTCTGCTGCCAGACTGTCCTGTGCCCTGGGGAATGCTCTGCTGCAGCCCGGTCCCAGCTGTGATAACCACAAAGGACTCCAGACACTGCCAGGTCCCCCCTGGGGAAACCCCCAGCCACCGTTCTACATGAATCTTTTATTTTCATGTGGCTATCGGAGGAGGATGGAAAGGCCAGGAGAGGTGCTGAGTAGAGCAGCTGGTACTCACGCCAATGAAGGGAATGAACTTCTGGTATGAGTCCTCGTCGGGGCTGTGGGAGACAGAGGAAAGCTTTCAGTTAGCAGGTGAAACTGAGCCTGGCTCGGAAGCATCAAAGGAGCCCATAGTGTGACATTATATCCTCCTGTCATTCCTTGGGGGATGTGAGGGCTATTATGGCTGTTCATATGGAGCACACAAAATGGGAAAAAGACCTGATCATGCCAACTACACCCCCTGCTCCCCACTGCTGAGTCTCGGCCACTAGGATGGGGAGAAGCAGCAGGCCTGGGGCAGTGAGGGCACCCGCAGGATGCAGTGGGACCCTCTCAATCTCCTGGGTTTATACAAAGGACCTGAGGTATGAACAAGGAATGGATTCAACATCCCTGTCACCCACCTGACCTGTTCCTCAGAAATCTGAGGTCACACTTACAACTTGTGTCTGCAGGTGAGCATGGCCTCAGCCACAGGGAGCTGGTGTGTCGCGGCCGCCCCATTGACGTACTGCATCACCCGGCCCACCACGTCCAGTTGCTCTGCAGAAAGGCCAAGCAATGACCGCCCATGGATTTTAGCAGGCAAAACCCCAACCTTGGAGTGCCCCTGAGACCTGGCAGAGCTAAGGAAAGGGCTGAGAGAGCCCTTTGGTTTTGAACCCAAGAAGTGTGAGCAAAGGACGGGCCTCTGGCTCAGGGCTCTTCCCTTCAGCTCTCCAAGTCCTGCACCTTCCTGGCTGACCACGCCCCTCCTTTCACACCCATAGCTCCTGCCTGCCTGTGTTGGCCATCTGTCTCCTGGAGGAGACTCAGCCCACCCGTCTCTGCCCATCACTTTTTCGGCCTCATTCTGATCCCTGCCTCCTCTGCCCGGTTGGTGCAGTTATTCATGTGTTGAGAGACTGCTTGGTAACTACTCTGCTTCCTTAATGTCATCTCTACAATGGAGGGATCCCTCGCCTGCCCACATACAATCCTCCTCACTTCTGGCCTCCACTTAACACACATACTCTGGAAAAGTGAACATGTGGAGCACCTGGAAGCAGGGGAAGTGGGAGCCAGAGGAGGAAGAGTAGCAGTGCCACATGCCCCAGCCTGGGCTGGCTCTCCAGAACTAGGGAAGCCCCCAGATGGAGCCATTACCTGACACTGGGGCCTCAGAGCGGCTGAACAGGTCTCTCCAGCTGGAGTCCAGGAAGGCGCTGCTGTACCTGCTGTCCACAGAGCCCAGGTATTTGGCCACTGGGTGAGAACCTGGTTGATGGAAAACCAGGGAAGGCAATTTGGTCAGGAGGCGCAGGTGGGAAGCAGCCCAGCTCACCCCACCTGGCCCTGGGTCAAGCTGTGGGGCTTTACCAAGGGGGATGATGAGGAAGCGCATGTAGCCGAGCCAGTCGGAGGTCTTGCTGGCCAGGGACTTGACGAAGAACCGGAGGATGGAGCTCAGGTAGCTCTGGCCCCCGACAGCTGCAACCTTCACTGGCCGGGGCATGGAAGAGTTGCAGTTGCAGCTGGGGAGGGAGGAACAGTCACTGAGGACCCAGGGCTCTGCCAGGACCCTGCTCAGGGAAGGCCCCAAGTGCCAGCTGTCTGCGATGTCAACAACCCACAAGGGAGCAAACCAATAAGCAAAATGAAGTGGAATGACAAAGAGAACAAGCCTCGGGGCTCTGCAGCTAAAAGGAGACCTAGGGTCAGAGGGCAAGTGCTGCCCCAGGAGTTGAAGCTGATGTTCACCTGGTGGTGCTGCCTGGGGGTCACCCTGCGTGCGCGCCCCAACTCTGGAATCCGTACTGGCCACGTTGTGCAGGGACCTCTGGGCCCCACCGAGAAGACACTGTGGGTTCTCCCCCACCAACTCTCAATTGTCAGGCAGCATGTTACAGCTGCAGGAAGGAGTAAAGGGCTGTTTAAAACCCTGGGTTTTGAGTGGTGCCTGTGGCTTAGTGGGTAGGGCGTCAGCCCCATTTACCAAGGGTGGCGGGTTCAAACCCATCCCCAGCTAAACAGCAACAAAAAAATAGCTTGGCGTTATGGTGGGTGCCTATAGTCCCAGCTACTTGGGAGGCTGAGGCAAGAGCATTGCCTAAGCCCAGGAGTTGGAGGTTGCTGTGAGCTGTGTGATACAACAGCACTCTACTAAGGGCGATAAAGTAAGACTCTGTCTCTAAAATAAAACCCTGGGTTTTGTTTTTCCATCTTGGGTTAAGAAGATGAAGCCAGTCTAGGTAGGGAGTCAGAGGGGCAGGAGCTGCTGCTCTAATGGCCTGATGCCTCAGGCTGCCAGGACACCTTGCACTATAGGTTGTGCTAGGCCCCTGCCACACACCCCATGGAGTTCTCAGTCTGGTGAGGCTTGGAGGTCCCATCATTGCTTAGAAGTCAGGGTCGAGGGTAAGTCGGGAGAACTCGAGGGCAGGAGGGGAAGGCAGGGGTCTTACTAGCGCTGGATCCGGGTGAGCAGGGCGGACAGCACGGCCTGGACCTCTACGGCAGAGCAGGTGCATACGACAGGCTTCCGTTGGTCCTGGAGCAGCTCAGCCACATACTGGGGTGGGGAGGAGGAGGCAGGCAGGTGAGGACATATCAGTCCCTCACAAGGGCCGAGAGGCAAGGGGGGCACAGGAGAAGCGGCAGGGCCCTTGTCCTCTGTGGTTCAGACTAAAGGGGGCAAAGGTGGCCAGGTTTCCTGAGCCATGCCGACTGTTAGGAGGCAGGCTTCAGGGTTGCTGACACCCACGCTCCTCTGCAGCCTGTGCCCCAGGCCTCCCCGCCCCAGTGGGTGGTGAGGTGAAGGGCAGCAGGACTGCTCTGGCCCTACTCAGTCCTTGTAGGAATCAGGCCAACCCCTGGTTGGTGGCAGCACTTGGTGCTTCCCCACTTGGTTCCCTTCCATGGTACTGCTTTTTTTATACACTTGGAAGCTGAGGTATGGAAAGGTTAGTGACTTCAGACCCCATAGGCCAGACAATGACAGAAGTAGGACTGGAACATGGGAGCTCTGGGCTTGGGTGAGGGCGGGAGGTGCCTGAAGGGTGAGTCCGCTGTCCCCCTCCTATGTGCCTGGAGCTGGACTCCTGCATGGCTGCAGCTTGAGCCCTCACCTGGCCCTGCCAGTCAGTGGTGTTCACCAGGATGACATTTTCAGGGAGAGCTGCATCTGACACTAGGATCTGATTCAGTTGGTCATACACCACCTTTCTTGGAATCTGCTGGCACAAAAATGTCTTTTGTTAGGTAGTCCTTGGGGATCCTGGGGCTAGGGTGTTGGATGAGCATGTGGAGAGCCCCTGGAACTGGGTGCTGAGAGAAGAGACAACATGAAATCTGTGCAGGGGGCCAGTCTCGAGCTGGCCAGGCCACAGTGGACAAGAGAAGAGAAAAAAAAATAAACAGAGGCCTCAGAAAACATTAGGGACAAAGCCACAGCAGGTGTCCTGCCAGGGCAGGCGGATGATGGATGTGGAATGGCAGCAGGCAGTGGGACAGTGCCATGCAAGGCGGTGCCAGAGGGCAGCCAGCAGGTGCTGAGAACAGAATGAGGGCAGTGGGGAGAGAAAGAACAAGAGGCAGCGAGTGCTGTGTGTGGACCGCTGTCTGAGGGAACAAGAGGTATTTCAGGAACAGCGATTAACAAGAAGGACAATGCCTCACCCCAGGCTCATTTTCAGCTATGTAATAGCACCAAACTCAGGAAGCCAGACTGACACACACTTTTCTCTTAACAATACTTACCAGGGAAATGCACAGACTTGTTGCTTAACTCTCCAAAAACCATGTACCAGCCAGAGAACTCCCTCCCCAAACCTCTGACACCATAGGCCTTAAGAAGAGAGCACAACTCCTGAGGTTCCATTTCTGCTGACTCCTTTTCCAATGAATATTCAGGAATTTCAATAGAGAGATCTTAATAGCGCTGCTGTATCAGCTTGAAATCACAGTAACTGACCCACAGATGCACAAAGGAGACCTGGTGGCTGCTGTCCTCTGGGACGATGCCTCATGGCACAACCTCCACACTAGTGTCTGGTGGAGGCCGAGAGGCAGAAGACACCAGAGAGATGGCAGGCCAGGGCCCGCCAGCACCTCTGCCCACCGCCACCCCTAGTCGGATGCCCTGGCAATGAGTAACAAATACAGGAGGCTACTCTAACTTTGGTCTTTCTTTAAGACTTTTTATTTGGAGCATTTCAAACTATCTCTCCTTTCGTTTCCAACTAACTGACCAAGGAAGAGATTAAAACAAGCCTGAAGTCCAGGGCATCGCGGGGACACAACCAGGGCCTAGGTGTTACCTGTGTGGTGTGGCCCAGGTCCGGGGAGCGCTCACTGTCAGAGCTGTTGGTCCTCTCGCTCAGGGGCTTAGAGAGCTGCCTCTCCCTCAGGGGCGTGCTCCTCTTCTGCCGGGGTGTGTGCGCCCCTTCCACCTTGCTGCCAGGGGTGTGGGAAGAGGGCAGTTAAATAGACCTTCCAACCCCAGGCTTTGCCAGCCATGCTTCCTTGGGCCCTGAAGCCCCAGCCAACAGTGGTCACGGTCTGCACTCCTGCTTCCTCCCGGTCTGGTGTACCTGGGTGAGGCGGAGCCCTGGGGGTCTGTCCTGTTGGACTTCATGGGAGTTCTGACTTTCTCTGGCACAGCCAGACTCGCGCTCCCATCTCCAAACACGTCCTGGTCAGTGATTTCCTGCCATGGAGGAGGAGAAGCCATGAAGGTTGCTGAGCACTCAGTGGCGCCTGGGAGCCTCCATAGAGGCCAGGCCCTCAGCATCACCAGGAGCCGTCCATTTTCTTTCCCTCAAAGTGTGTGGTTCTAAGACCACCACCCCCGCCGCCACTTCCCCCATCAAGTGACATGGAAATGGCTACTGTTTAGTTTAGTGAGCTCACCCTCTGTCCGAGTTGTCAGTACACAAGGAGGAAGAGACTGACCACCTACCCCGTCCAGCCCCTGACTGGCCTAAGAAGCGATGCTGGGCCTCATGAGGGCGTGGCCCTGTAGATCTAGGAACTAGCTGCATTCCTCATTTGGCCATAGCTACTGGCATCTAGCTGGGGTTCTCCCTTCGTGGCTCCTTCTCCTGCCAACTCCTGTCTGTATCTCTCCCAGGCTCACTTGCCTCCATCCCTCTCATTCTACCTGCTGGGTTCGGGCCCTTGCTTTTCCTAGATCACTTTCAACAACCTTCATGAGCCTTACTTCCTTCCCCCTTCGAGCCGTCCAGCCCGCCTATTGCAGAGCTGTCTTCCTAGGCACAAAGGCGACCACATCACAACACTATTAGAACAATGGGAAATACTCTGCACTGCTGAGAATGGCGTCTCAATTCCTCAGTGGGGCCTTTGAGGCCCTCCAGGACCTGGCGTAGGCCATCTTCCTGTATTACTGTTCCACATGTCCTCCCTAGGACCACCCCTTCCCCAGTGTTCCCACCCTGTCAAGGACTCTGTCCCCCATAGAGGGCGTGAGCCTGCCTACCTCTCTGCTCTGCCTATTCCTTATGTTTTCAAAATGTTTACTCGAGACATAACATCCATAAAATAAGTGCGTGAATGTAAAACAGAGAATTGAATGTGTACCCAGTATACCCCTAAGTGACAGCTAACCAGATTACCACAGCACATTCCAGCACTCCTAGAGGGTCCCACATGCCCCTTCCCACTCCCACAGGCAATAGGGGTCCTCACTCTTGCTGGCACAGCTTTGCTTTGTCTGTCAATTTCACGTAAATGGAGCCCTATGGCATGAATTTCTTTGGTGTTTGGCTTCTTTTGCTCAACATCAAGTCTCTGAGATTTGGTTAATCACTGAGAAGTTTAATCAGAAAATGACACAACTGGAATTCCATTTTGAGAATATAGCTGCCACGCAGTGTGGACCTCAGTGGGGCTGAGTGGAAGCTGCATTATTCAGATGACTGGTGGACCATAAAACAGAAGAAGTGAGCACAGACCCTTTAGTTAGTAGTGTGCTGTACTATGGGAAACAAGCCTGAAATCATGCTCCCCTCCATTCCACTCAACCCCCAGAAGGCCTCCCTACAAGGCTCATGTACCCCAGGTGGAATTCTGCCAAGTTCTCTGCTCTTCCTACCCTGGTCCAGCCTCTGGTCCCACAAGATAAACTTCAGTGTATCCTACAAGGCCAAACTCAGGTGTCTGCATCCCTCACCTTAGGTGTGCACAGGGGCTTTCCTGGTAGGGGCCTTGGTGACAGACCATGGCATGATTGTATGTGCATCTACAGTGCCCAGGGCATGTGTGACCACTGTGTAATTAAACTGTGTGTCCCAGCAATATCCCTGAGCAGCTTCAACACCTCTTAGACCAGCAGTCCTCATAACCCACAGGACTATATGAAAGGGTCATGACATTAGGAAGGTTGAGAACCCCTTGGAGACTTAAAGTGGGCTGCACGGCCACTGAAGGAGCAACATCCTAGGAGAAGGGTGACACTGATCATCTCTTGGGAGCAAATGAGTGTGACAGATAGTGAGAAATTATCCAATCCAGCATCATATCCCTCTAACTAAAGTAGTGGTTCTCAACTTTCCTAATGCTGTGATCCTTTAATACAGTTCCTCATGTTGTGGTAACCCCCAACCATAAAATTATTTCCATTGCTACTTCATAACCATAATTTTGCTGCTGTTATAAATCATAATGTAAATGACTGATATGTGGGATGTATTTAGGCAACCCCTGTAAAAGGATCGTTTGATCCCCCAAAAGGGTCACGATGGACAGGTTGAGAACGGCTGAACTAAAGGGTTTGCTAATCTGGGGAACAACATGGTGTCTAGGGTAGGATTTCAGGAGAAAAAGAGTATGGGGCAGTCCTTCCTGAGGGCCCTTTCCTTCTTTATTTGAGACACAGAGTCTTACTTTGTCACCCTCAGTAGAGTGCCCTAGTGTCATAGCTCATAGCAACCTCAAACTCTCAGGCTCAAATGATTCTCTTGCCTCAGCCTCCCGAATAGCTGGGACTACAGATGCTCACTATTAATACCTGGCTGGGGTCTTGCTCATGCTGGTCTCGAACTCCTGAACTCAAGCAAACCACCTACCTCAGCCTACCAGAGTGTTGAGATTATAGGTGTGAGACACTGCCTGGCCAGCCCTTTCTTCTTATTTCTAAAGGGACAGCTGCTATTGGAAATGACTGAAATAGGAAACTAAATCATACGTACCAGAGTGTCTGTTTCAGTCAAGCTGTCATCTTGGTTTTTAATCCAAGTAGATTTGACTTTTTCTAGAGCAGCCAGTTCCATCTGCAAAAATGGTTAATAATTCATTTACATGGATACAAATAAATATCATTGGTTTTACCAGTTCCCCATGATGCTTATCACACTTTCACTTAATCTTCAACCTCATAAAATCTTTAGGGCTTTTATCTTATGAGGGGGTGTATTTTTGTGGAAATGAAGCTTCAGAGGGATCAGTTCTTTCTGTAATCAGTCAACATGGTGAGATGTAGAATCCAAAAATTCTAACTTCTGCAAGGTGTCCTTGGGAGGAGCTCAAAGGTCAGATAGCTTTGCTATTGGATCCACAAAATCTTTGACCTTGGATGCAGTAAACCTCTTACCCAGGAGGGACAAACAGGGGTCTCCTTTGCTTGTCAGAAAAAGAAGGATGTTATAGTTTAGGTCTTTGATTTTGAGAGTTAAGGC